CGGAGGGGAGCAGTACGTGGGGCTCCCTTCCTGCCCCCTCCCAAGTAGGCTCCCGCAACTGCAGCGCAGCCGGGACGCGTGGGGACGGGCGTGTGCGCCGGGGGGAGAAGAGGAAGGGCGGCCGCCGTGCCTCGGAGGTTCTTACCTTCCTGGGTCTGGGAGCTTCGGAACGTCTGGAGCAGGAGCAAGAAAGGCACCAGGAGGGCCCCGCTGACCCCTCGGAGGCCGCCCATGCTGGGGCTGTAAGGTGAGCCTTCGCCTGCTCGCTGGTTTGCTCCCCTTTCCTCCTCCGGAGTCGGAGTCGGAGTCGCCTTCGCAGGGTGACTCACGGCCGAGCCCGGCTGCCACAGGTCGAAAAGCTCAATGGGAGCTGGTGGGAAAGTTCTCGCCCTGTTCATTCATGCCTGTGCTGACGTCACCTGGGCCACGCCTCCGGGGGCCGTACGATTCTCCCTCGGCCGCCCCCGGGAGCCCCCGGCCTTCGCTCGGAAACCAGCTGGCGAGAGAGAGATTCCCTTTTCCGGCTGATAAAACTGGAAGCGACACGGGCTCCTTGGGCCCCTTGGTCTTCCAATTCAATTCAGTTCCAATTCAATCAGCTTTATTGATTAGTCTCACAACCTTATCAACCTTGGTCTTCCAGACGAAGGGAGCGCCGAGTGAGTCTCCCCGCAGCTCTTTGCCCGGGGCAGCTTTGGAGGGGAGCGCGAGAGAGAGTCGTGGTTTGTCGACCCTGCTAGCCAGGGCCGGGGAGAGGATGCAGGGGTCTTCGCATGGTCCCAGGACCACCCGCAGTACCGCACAGAAGCGCCAGCCCTGGGACGGAGACCAGCACTTATTCTAGCCCCCAAATCGGTTACGGCTACTCTGAAAATCACGCGAGAAGAAGATTGCACCTCCGCTACTCCCCAAAACTCCTCTCAAAGCCAAGCCCGGGGTGTGTGTTCCCATCTGCCTTGTGATCTCCCCCTGCCCCCGTAAGGGCAGACCCCTGCTCTTGGTAGAAGGCAGACGTTGCTTCATCCATTTTTTTTTTTTTTTGATTTGGGCTCTCAAAGACATCAGATGGTATATAAATATTAAGCTCTTGATCATTCAATCCATAATCCTATAATTTGGAGAGAATACTACCTAACTTACCTAAATATGACTTACGGGTAATAGGCTGCACTATTAAAAGGTTATAATTCTGTGGTCAGAACTACCCGGTTCAGAGACCCCCAGTTTTTGTGGCTCACGTTTTTTCTGGCCAGCAACACAATTTTTTTCTGTATCTTTTCCCATCCATACTGATAGTCTGATCTGCACACAGAAGCTTTATTGACGAGGGATTGTGGATCTGTTCCACAACGTCACAGCTTGTGGGGCTTGTGGGATGGAAGGAGGAGGCTGCTGGGAGCCTTGGCATGTTGCCACAACATATGCTTTAAAGGGGATGTAGTTTAAAATAATTCAAGTATTACTGATTATCAGTTACACAAAACAGCTCAATAAGAAACGGCTGTCTTAGAAAAAATAAAATTGTGAAAATAGTAGTGAACTTGATAAATCAGTCGTTTTATTTGTTTAGAGCACCTAATTCCTTTTGCTATCTAGATCTGGGAGATAATAAACAGAAATCGGGACATGTCATTTATAGAAGTACATTTCACTCACCCGTAGAGGAACTTCTCATTGCACAGAACTCTGCACAATTATATTCACAGATAATAAATAAGATGGCACGAGTAATCTCTTACTATTCACTTCTAAAAGAGTCTGTTCCTCTTGTGTGACGTAATGTAGAAACTTTTCAGTGAGGATTTAGCCGAAGGGTGGTATGGAAAGAATTTCCACGGCTTCTGTGGCACTCTGGCAACTGGCCTGTATGTCTTTTTGGGGCGGGGGGGAGCGCACGGGAAAGCTGCAGGAGCAGAATCAGCCTTGCCACATCAGTTCAGGTCAGCAGAAGAGATATTTCTCTTTTCTAAGTTGTTGGTCTGGGAATTTTCATTTGGAAAAAGCTGAAGGTCCTAGGCTGGCCCCAGAGGGGCTACCTATGGACTGTGTAAGAAGTTAAGAATGCAGTCAGCGCCCGGAAGCTTCATCCAACAAGAGTGGGTCCGTTCAGTTCTGTTCGGTCTGTTTCCTATAAGGGCTAGAAAAGTGCCCCTAGGAGGCCTCGGCCAGCCAGCAGCACCCCCCACGCCCCCCATTATTTGGTCTCAGGAGCATGCAGTGGTAGGTTGTCTCTGAAAATGAAAGCTCTGCATTTATTACGGTGGCGAAATCAGGCCCAGTCATCTTTCTCCCAGTATTGGAAATGCTTTGAATAGTTGTTTAAAAGCTAGGTAGAAAATACTGAAAATACACCTTTTGGCTTATTCATACAGTGTTGTAATAAAATGTTATAATAGCAGAAACTTGCCAGCCCATAGTCCTCACGGCCTGCCATGGCAATGAATTCCACTATTCTGCGTGTGACGTGAAGAAATATTTTCTTTTGTCTTTCCTGATCTACTGCCAATTTTTTGGAGCATAATATTGCAGCACAAGAGGAGCAGAGAGGTCAGGTGTTTTTTCACCGCCAAGTGTTAACTTGCATTATCTTTGCACTCTCCTTTTTTCTCTTAACCGAAACTTATCACGATACCATTAGCATTACACGATAACATTTTAAAGACCTAATGGGATATATATGTAGTTATCCGTATAAATTATTTGATGTATTTATGAGATATAAAATTATACCCTTGCTGCTTCAGCGCTATAATCATAGTCATAGTCAGAAAGCCCCTTCTCTGCCCCCACCCCTGTTTGTTTTGGTTGCCATCTTCTGGGCTTCCATTTAAAACCTTCTGAATATACGCTTATTCCTTTTATTTCATACCTGGCATCTTAAAGTTTAGGTTCCAGTCTCAGTCCCCAACCCTTCCAGCAATTACTGTCTGCATTATTAGAGTTGCGCGTGTTAAATGTAAACTGTCTCTTTATGTGAAATATTTCGTCCCTCTTTCCCCACTTTGAAGAAGTGATGCAATTCGTTCTTTGCATACTTCTCAGCTTCATCTCTCCTCCAGTGCCAGGGGAGCCTTATAAACGTATTATTCCGCATGATATGCGCTACCCTAAACATTGACGAACGAGGAGGAAGACCGCAGTGTCCAGAGAGGCCCTCTAGGCCAAGCCCCATCCTGGGCAGGCAGGCTTGGTGGAGGCCTCGTGCAGCTCCGTCACGAGCAGTTTGACCGGGTGGGCGCGGGTGGGAACCGAGGGGACGAAAAGAGCAAAGCTCAAAAGGAGGCCGCCGGCTCTTGGGTTTCTGCGCTGACTGCAACGGCTGCAGGCACTGCAGAGCCTTCCTCTAAGGATGGGGTCCGGCTGCGCCACGCAGATTGGACAGAACCGCCACGCCCAGCCAGCCGACGGGACCGGGATGCTGCAGGTAAAGAACCGAGTGGGCAGTTCTTCCAGCCGGAAATCAACGTAGGGCACCGTCCCCGGCTCACGCTGTTGCTGCTCCCCTTTCCATTGACTGTTGAGTTGACTGTGGCGCACCGCTCGGATCTGCCTGTCTCCTCGGCTGCCTTTCATGCCAGACTCCTGGCGTTGGAGGCCCACGGTGAAAAGCAGGTATCACGTCTGTCTGTACTGGACGGGCGATGAGAAAGAGGTCTGAAGCAGACTGGTACTTCTTCTACAAAATGGCAGGCTTCTAAGAGAGCTCCCATCCAGCGAGCTGTATAGATTGTATCTGGGCGGTGAGGCATGCATGGCAGGGCTCCTCCTCAGAACTGTTGGGCAACCCCATACATGCTACCCGATGATGTTATTAAATCCTTCCCCCTAGAGGGAACCAGAACATGTTTCTGCTTGCATCAAAATCCAGCCTCATCAAGTATCGCATAAAGCTGAGTCACAAGCAGCCTTTGCCTCTGTGGCTCCGTCACGCCGGCCTCAGTGCTGCCCGCACGAGATCGCAGGCAGAGGGTCGGAATTACGGTGCCAGGAAGATGATCGTGAGCCTGACCCAAGGAGCATGAAACAGGCAAAGTACGGCAAGAAAAACGTCTCTGCCCCAAGGGACCTACAGTCTAGCCGGTATTTGAGAAGGGTGATCTCAAGAGCAAACGTTATTCTCGCGTACCCAACCCCCAGTTGAAATAACAGTCCTTTCGCTGGGTGGAATCCAGTGATGCGAGCAATAAGATTTTCCTCTAGATTCCTGCCCTTGTACAGTGGTGCCTCTAGTTACGAACGCCCCTCCTTACGAATTTTTCAAGATACGACCAGCTCCGGCCCCAAAAATTTACCTCGACATGTGAACTCCACCTCTACTTACGAACCGGATTCGCGGCCATTTTCCCTGCTGCCATGCGGTCGCGGCTTCCTGTGGGCGAGATCGCGGTAGCAAGGAGACGTTCGGTGAGGCTTGTGGTGTGTTTTGTGGCGTTTGGAAGGTTTTTGTGGCGTTTGGAAGGTTTTTGAGGTTTAAAAATAAAATGCATATGTTTCAGAACTGTTTAGCCGTATTGACATTGAACCTTACGGGGGAAATTTACCTCGGGGTGCGACCAAATTCGGAGGGCGGAACGGATTAACCGTATTTTCATTGAACCTTATGGGAAACTTTACCTCGACTTGCAACCAACTCGAGTTGCAACCAGAGTCACGGAACGGATTAAGTTCGTAACTAGAGGTGCCACTGCAGCTCCTCTTTAGGCGCTTGTAGGAGAAATGTCTCCTTTATGAGTATGCTTAGTAACGGAGGCCAGAACAGGTAGACCAGTCGGTCCAATAGGTGGGGAATGCAGCCCCCCGAAACAGGTTAGAATATACAGGCATTCATGATGTCAGCGTTAGGGAGGTAATGAAGGTGGGGCTGCAGCGATGGTGCTTTTATTAAGGCTGCGTGTCGGTACAGCCATCACCGTCCGATATTTCCGTTACTTCCTGTTCTCTCCCTTGGCCTTGCTTCCAAGGATCCCCTTTCCTTGCTTCCAGCATTCCTCTGCTGTCGAAGCATCTTTATGGTGGCCTTGGCATTTTTACTGCTTCGGTTAGAGGCCCAGGAAAGGTGACTGGGGGGAGCAGCCCGCTTAGTCTGGCCAGCGCCGTTTTCTCCTTCACCCGGAGAGGGAGGACGTACGTTTCAGTCCACAGTGCGCGTCAGCCAGGCTGTCGTAGCAAAAACACTGTGGACGAAACGGGAGGTCAGCTGCCCATCTTTTTTCCTTCCGTTCTGGCTGTCCAGAGAACAGGGCGGCAGACGCACCAGAGCCAGAAATACCGTCTTATGACTTGGCCTCCTTGGGCACCTGGAGTGCCCGTCAGACGACAGCCCCTTCTTAGCTTGTCTCAGAAACGTTCCTCA